TCATTACCAGATTTTGCTATTTTCCCTCAGACTGTGTGCTGAATGGGAACATTAAACAGATGAGTTTTGCTTTGAGGAAAAATGTGTTTAATTAAAACTCAGCAGATAGTCTTGGGAAAGTCATCTTTCTCGGAGTTTCTCCTATTTATATACTTAGACTAAACGATGCTGAAAGTGTTGTAAGCCCTAGTTATTTCTGATTTCTGTGAAGACAAGAGTTCTATTTTTGGTCCATACTTCGTTAAAAATTTAGCAACATGTAGCTGTGGAACTTGGTGTGGCTGTGTGGAATTGCCCTCTCATTGGATACTTGGTTGAAAAAAAAAATGGGTTACTATGGTGTTCAACTATGTGGCAAATTGAATAATTGACCCTGAAAGTTTCAAGCAGTCTTTGTTGTTGTCTTTGACACATTCATTCTGCCAATGAAGATACTCAGTCAGCATCATGAGATAAGTGGTTTTAGTCATTGGGATCAGAAAATAATTCTATTTTTGTGAGTATTGAAATAAGAAGCAGAATTTGCCTTTCTCAACTTCTTCAGTAGACTCATAACTCCAAGTTACCAACCATGTCATATACACTTGGAAAAATTCGATGTCATGATTGACAAATTGACTTTTTTCCTTCCATCATTGGAATTTTGTTGTTTTGTTTTTGAGACAGGGTCTCACTATGTAGTTCTGGCTGTCCTGGAACTCACTATGCAGACCAGGTTGCCCTCAAACTCATAGAGGTTCCGCTGCCTCTGCCTTCCAAATCCTGGGATTAAAGATGTGCACCACCACAACAAGCCTCCATCACTGGAATTTTTGTTAAGATTGCATTAACCTCATAAATTATAGGGAGTTGACACCTTGGAATGACATTGAGATGTTCCAACTAAAAGAAAAGATGCCTTCTTATTGCCAGGTGTTTTATGTCCTTATTTTTATTACTATTTACTTAGCATAAAATAAGAGGTTTCATTATAATATTCTTTTCTTCTTTTTTTATTTAAATTAGAAACAATCTTGTTTTACATTTCAATCCCAGTCCCCTCTCCCTCCCATCCTCCCCTGCCCTTCTCCAACCCCATCCCATCCCCTTCCTGCTTCCCAGGGAGGGAGAGGCCTTCCATGGGGTTCTTCAGAGTCTGTCATGTCATTTGGGGCAGGGCCTAGCTCCTCCCCTGTGTGTCTAGGCTGAGAGAGTATCTCTCTATGTGGAATGGGCCCCCAAAGTCCATATTTATACTAGGGATAAATACTGACCCACTACCAGAGGCCCCATAGATTAATCAAACCTCCAAACTGACCTCCTCGTTTAGGGGGTCTGGATCCACCCTATGCTGCTTTCCCAGCAATCAGTTTGGGGTCCATGAGCTCCCCCTTGTTCAGGTCAGCTGTTTCTGTTGGTTTCTCCAGCCTCATTATACCATTTTTATGAATATTTCCTTTTGGATTCATATCTATCCCCATTCACAAAACTTAAGTCCAAATGGATCAGGGTTATTTTTTAAAATCAATCAATTAATTTATTTTCCATTTATTTATTCTTTATATTGAGCTATGCATTTTTCCCACTCCACTTTCCTCATCCCATCTCCCCTTTTACCCTCCTCCATGAACACCACCCCACCCCTCCACCCCCCTCCCAATTTACTCAGGTGATCTTGTTTTTTCCCCCTTCCTAGATGGACCCATGTATGTCTCTCTTAGGTTCTTCTTTTTTACTTAGGTTCTCTGGGGTTGTGACCTGTAGGCTGGTTGTTCTTTGCTTTATGTCTAATATCCACTTATGTGTGAGTGTACATTATATTTGTCTTTCTGGGTCTGGGTTACCTCACTCAGGATGGCGTTCTCAGGTTCCTTTCATTTGTCTGGGCGGTGGTAGCACATGACTTTAATCCCAGCACTTGGGAGGTAGAGCCAGGCAGTTCTTTGAGTTCCAGGCTAGTCTGGTTTACAAAGAGAGTTCTAGGACAGCCAGCAATGTTACACAGAGAAACCCTGTCTCAAAAAACAAGATAAAGAAAGAAAGGAAGAAAAGAAACACTTTCTGAGATACCATCTACGCCTGTCAGAATGGCCAAAATCAAAAACACCAATGATAGTTCATGTTGGAGAGGATGTGGAGTAAGGGAGAACACTCCTCCATTGCTGGTGGGAGTGCAAACTTGTACAACCACTTTGGAAATCAGTATGGCAGTTTCTGAGGAAATTGGGAATCAATCTACCTGAAGGCCCAACAATACTACTTTTGGCATATACCTGAAATATGCACACTCATACCACAAGGAAATTTGCTTATCTGTGTTCAGAGCAGCATTATTTCTAATAACCAAAACTTGGAAACAACCTAGATAGATGTCCCTCAATTGAAGAATGGATAAGGAAAATGTGGTACTTTTACACAATGGACTACTCAGCAGTAAACAGAGTTCTTTAAAGAAGAAATTCAAATGTCTAGGGAATGCTTTTAAAAGTGTTTAACATCATTAACCTCACAAAAACTCAGATTTAAACCATTTGTTGATGCCATATCACTCCAGTGAGGATACAAATGACAGCTCCTGTTGGTGCAGATGTGGGGGAAAGGGAACCCCTGGACAGTGCTGGTGAGAGTGAAGCTGTGTAGCCATTTTAGAAATCAGTCTGGAGGTTCCTCAAAAAGATGGAAGTAGAACTACCTCGTGACCCAGTTACACCATCCTGGCTATGTGCCCTAAGGAGCTTACAGCCTATTACAGAGATACTTGATATCTGTGTTCATTGCAGCTCTAGTCACAATAGCTGGGAAGCAGAACTGTGGATCTTTTGTTCCCTTTATAGACTGACAACTTTTTGGTGATAAATCTTTGCTATCCTTTAGATTTTCTAGCTAGTAACCTCCTGTCTGAAGTAGATGATAAGTTTTCTCTCATTCTTCATGACTTCTTTTCATTCTTGAGGTTGTTTCCTTTTGTCTGCTTAGATAAGTTTTTCATGATCACAAATTGTTAGTTTTGAAGAATGTATTTTTAGTCATCATGTTGCATTTGCCATGGGTAGGATGCAAAAGAACATATTTAGTATTTTCATTTTTCATTAATTGTTATAGTTGGAATACAAATGGGCTTGATTGTGACATTTCATTTAGCTGTATCCTTGTACTTTCTCTTATTTACCCGCCACACTATTCTCCCCTATAATATCAGTGTACAATTCTCTCCTTGTAAGCAGTCTCCCTTCTGCTTTCATGTGTGTTTGTAACCAAATCTAGATTCTCCATATGAGGGAAATACGGGATAGTGTGTATTCTTCTTCCTCTCTTTTGCACCCCCTCCGCTAATCCCCTTTCTTCCCTCCTCATAGTCTTTATTCTTCTTTCCTGCAATTTGTATATGTCATAAATGGGTTCACACACACACACACACACACACACACACACACACACACACACCCATATATGACAGAAAACATGGCTCATGTATTCCAGAGTCTGACTTGTGTTGCCTATGTCATGGTTATTTATATCGTGTTAATGATAATCTATCAATTTTCTTGAATTTGCTATGAATTTCAGCTTCTTTATGGCTGAATAAAGTTACATTGTATATCAATCATATTTTTCATCAAATTAATCTGTTGATGGTGATCTAGGTTGGTTGCATATGTTGTGTATTGTGAGTTCCTCACTTCCATAGTAAAACCACTAGTTACAATCTCACCTGCAGTGTGTAAAGGTTCTCTAGCATTTTTTTGTTGTTTGTTTTGTTTTTTTGATACAGGGTTTCTCTGTGTAGCTTTGGAGCCTATGCTGGCACTCTTTCTGGAGCCCAGGCTGGCCTCAAACTCACAGAGACCCGCCTGCCTCTGCCTCCTGAGTGCTGGGATTAAAGGCATGCGCCACCAACACCCGGCTTCTCTATCATTTTTTTGTTATGTTTTTTTCCTTGCTGGTAGCCTTTCTCACTGGGGTGAGAGGGCATCTCAATGATTTTTTTTTAATTTGCATTTTCTTGATGGGTATGATGTTGAACAGTTTCCAAATACTGGCCATCTGTATTTCTATATTTGAGAACAGTTCTACTTATTCACCTGTTTATTGATTAGATGATTTTCCATGCTTAATTTTTTGAGACCTCCCAATGTTGTCTGTGTTAATCCTCTACCACACCCAGTTGGCATATATTTTCTCCCATTCTGTAGGCCGTCTCTCCTCTCTGATGCTTGTCCCCTTTGCAGTATAGACAATCCTCGATCTCATGTCAGCTCACATGTCAGTCCTTAATGTTTTTATGACCTGCTAGAATGCAAGATTAGAATGCTAAGTTATCCCTATGCATGTACTTTAGCTATTTGCTTTACTGCTAAAATATGTTGGAGTTTTTTTTTTTAATGACTGAATACTATACAGTTGTGATTTACTATAAGAGTAACAGTATTCCCAGCATTATCAGTTGTATGATTTATGCTGTAATTACAGCTTTGTTATAACTAGGAAGTCGTAGATGACATGATCATTCTAATACAATTTTGTGGATAGTAAAATGTGAGTTTTGTACAATTTTTTTTCTTTTGGTTCCTTCCCAACTATTGAAGCAAGATGACAATTATTTTACATCAATAGGATGTATAAAACATGGGGTAGGCTATGTTTGACTTGTATATAATAGTTTATTAATCTCTTAATTTACAAGATTATGACATAATATGGAAAATGATCATAACACATTGAATGCGAGAACACAGATCATAAAACATGCCTTTTGAGTGTGACAACATCTATAGAAGAAAGCACTTGCCAGCAAGACAGCCTTGGGGGACACTGGATCAAAATATTTACAGTGCTCCCATGGGTAGATTATGAGTAAATTTAATTCTACGTATGTTTGTTTGTGTGTTCTGAATTTGTACTATGACTTTTATTGCATTGTTTTAAAAATATTCTTATATCAGAAAAAGTTATTTACCCAGTGTCAGCAAATTGGTGCATTGATACATTCTGTTTGTTTTCCCTGTTTCTTTCATGTTTAGCCAACAAGTCCCAAGTTTGGAAAAGCTGACTCCTATGAGAAACTGGAGAAACTAGGGGAAGGATCCTACGCAACTGTCTACAAAGGGAAAAGCAAGTAAGTTCAGTGTTTTAAGGAGTGCGTCACACATGCCGTGTGTCTGTTCTCCTAATTTTAAATAACAGCATCTTTAAATAATTCAAATTTACAATGTCATAGATTTTCCTGATGTTTGGCTTCCTGGATCCCGTGAGCCCACTCCAAACAAGTCTAAAAAATAATGGAAGAGGTTTTCCCGAGACAGGTGGTCCTGCAGGCTTCTCTATTTCTCAGTGGAGTAGAGCTCTCACATGAGAACTATTTTCCAGTTGAATGAAGCAATTACTTTCTCATGGTACTTTAATATTTATTATAATTTTTCCACTTTCCCACATATTGAAGATAGCTTCTTCTCTCATACAATATATATTGACCATATATATGCTCAGGAAGCCCACAGAAATACTGAGTTAGAAGCTATAATGCATGTACAGAGAACCTGGTGCAGAGCCGGGCAGGCCCTGTGCTTGCTGCTTCCGTCTCTGAGAGCTCATATGTGCCTTGCTTAGTTGATTCAGAGAGCCTTTTACTCACTTGTGGTGGCCTCCATCTTCTCTGGCCTTACACTTTTTTCTGCCTCTTTGCCTCCTCTTTCCTGGGATTGCCTGAGCTCTGAGGTGAGGGATTTCACAGAGTTCTAACATTTAGACTCTCTCCAGTAATGTCTGGCTGTGGGTCTCTGTACCTGCTCTCATCTGCTGCCAGAGGAAGCCTCTGTGATGATGACCGAATAGGGTACTGATCTGTGAGTATAGAAGAATATCATTAGGAGGCATTTTCTTTTTCTTTTTTTTTTTTTTTTTAGACCAGTAATGCTTGGCTTTACCCTAGGTCTCTGGGCTATCTGGTCTCTGGTTCTTGGTCACCCATGTGGTGTCAGGTATGGGTCCTGTGTGGTGCAGAAGGCTTATTCAAATCAGATGTTGATTGAATTCTCCCCCAAGTTCTGTGCCGCTGCTGCCCTAGCATATCTGGACAGATTGTAGGTCAAAGGCTTTATGTAGGTGTTGGTATTTATGTGTCTCTTCTGTGAGCCTTCAGAATACTTTCCTGCATCAAAGACACTAGAATATAGGGGTGAGGGCTCCATGTAGACATCAGCTGGACTTCTTTCTCTATGTTCAATGAGTTGTATGGATGTAGTAGTCAGCAATGATGGCCCACTGTCAGTTTGCAGAGAGAAAACTGACATTGTCCATTGTCTTCCTATCAGCCTGGGGTGTTTGGGAATTTTCACATGAACCTAGGTAGGAACCTGCTCAACTTCATGATCAATGAGTTGTTTAAGTTTTGTTTTTAGGAATGGGGCTGTGCTATCAGTTTGTGGAGAGCAGCCTATAATCTTAGCAACAGCCTGGATTGTTTGGGGGTTCTGAAGGGACCTCTTTGACCAAAAACTCAATTAGATGTAACTCATTCCCAGATGGCTAGTTGGGGCTAAGCCTCACCCATTATTTGGTGATTTCATTTAGATTGCTTTCATATATGATTGTGTTGGTTTAAAAGAAAAAGGCCCCGATAGGCTCATAGGGAGTGCTTTCAGGATTCTTCCCAGTTTGAATTCCTGTCCTGACTTCCTTCAATAATAAATAGCAAGTGTAAGATGAAAAAACCTTTTCCTCGCCGGGCGTTGGTGGCGCATGCCTTTAATCCCAGCACTCAGAAGGCAGAGGCAAGTGGATCTCTGTGAGTTCGAGGCCAGCCTGGTCTCCAGAGCGAGTGTCAGGATAAGCTCCAAAGCCACACAGAGAAACAAAAAACTTTTCCTCCCCAACTTGCATTTTTGTCAGGGTGATTTGTTGCAGCAATAGAAACCCTAATTAAGACAGCCTTCTGTTGGATGTGTGCTTGGTAAACATCTCTTCCCATTCTGTAGGCTGTTGTTTTTTCTGAATGATGGTGTCTTTGCCTTGCAGAAGCTTTGCAGTTTCATGCTGTTCTATCTATCATTTGTTGATTATTCATGCCTGTGCTAATGGTTTTCTGTTCAGAAGTCTTTTCCTATGCTAATGAGTTCAAGGCTATTCCTTATTTCCTTTAACCTCACTTTCATTTTATCTGGTTTTATGTTGAGTTCTTTGATCCATTTGGAGTTGAGTTTTGTGCAGGGTGACAGATCTGTATCTATTTTGTTGGACTTTATGTGGTTTGGATATTAGAGTAACTATGGCCTCATACAATAACTTGGCAATGTTCCTTCTGCTTCTCTATTGTGGAATAATTTGAGGAGTATTGGCATTAACTCTTCTTTGAAAGTCTGGTAGAAATCTATGCCAAAATCCATCTGGCCTTAGGCAGTTTTGGGGGGTGGGTGGGAGAATTTTATTGGCTGCTTCTGTTTCCCTAGTGTTATAAGTCTGTTTAACTTGTTTATCTGATCTTGATTTAACTTGTGTAGGTGGTATGGAGAAAATTATTCCTTTCTTGTAGACTTTCTAATTTGCTGGAGCACAGGTTTTCCAGATTTGAATTTTTATAAAGCTTTTCTTGACATATTTCTGAGGATTCCTTCTCCCACACTTTTCCATCTCTGTACGTGAGGAAGTAAGTGTATTCAGTGACAAGAGGCTTGTAGGAAGCTTCTGTTTTAGGAATAACTCAAGGTCAAAGCCTTGTTTCACCTTAATAACTACCAAATAATGCTGAAAATAATTTCCAAGCCATCCCTGTTAGATTTTTGTTTAAATTCAAAATAAAAGAAAAGGAGGAGAAAGATAAGACACATTAGACACATTAACCAGTTTATCATAGGCTCCAGATTTCAGTGAATGACTCTGTGTCAAAATTAGGGTAGATAACAATAGAGAAATATCTTATATTGACCTCTGCCCTATACACACACGTGCAGAGGAGCGCCACCCCCATACATGTATATGCACATATACATATGTGTATCACACACAAAGAGAAAGTGAAACAAAAACTATGGTCATCAAGGAGCCATGAGGATAAAGTAAGGTCATTAAGAAGGACAGTAATCCCATATGACATATGTCCTGATTCAAAGTGGACACTGGACAGAGGCAGACACAGCACACTAAGCAGAACCCTGTGAAGATTAAAGGCTGAATATCTTCAGTGTGAGGAACCCCAAGACCACCACACCCCAAAGGCTAGAAAGAAGAATGGAACACACTCTCCCTCAGAGGTCCTTGAGAGGAACAAACTGATGTCCCCTTCACCTTTCACTTGTAGCTCCAGAACTGTGATACAACAAAATTCTGTTGTTTAGGCACCAAATTTGTGGTTCATTGTTTTGCCAGCCCTGGCCAGCAACCACAGCAATGTTGGTGGTAACATGTAAAGATGACACCTACGCATTTATACAATGAATGTGTGTGTGTGTGTGTGTGTGTGAGTGAGTGTGTGTGTGTGTGTGTGTGTGTGTGTGTGTGTGTGTGTGTGTGTGTGTGTGTGAAATCCTCACAAAGGGAGAATCACAGAAATCTCAAAGTCCAGGCAGGTTTTCAGTAAGATAATGAAAAAACTGAGGAGGATGCTAAACACAGTGTTTCAAGGTAGAGGCAAGGATGCTGACCTTTATGGGAGAATGTTGAAGAGTACAGAAATAAGCTCCCCTTGTTTACAAGGCTCCTGTAGGGGGAAATGCTGACCACACCCATTTGGGGGCTTGCACAGGCGCTGCTGACCATGCCCAACTGGGTGTGGTCAGAGTATTGTAGCAAGGTTTTAAATATTAGAGACACACAAGTGGGTCTCTTTTCCCTCTCCCACCTGGCTCAGCGAACAAGCAGGTTATCTGGTGTAAACCTGGTGACTGGCTCCATTCTTTGAGTACTTTCTTAATAAACTATCTGTGATCAATCTAGTTCTGACTCCAAATTGTGTTCAGCTTCAGTCTTCTCTAACTATGTTGCACTCTAGGGATGCACCAAACAAACTCAACTCTTACAGTCTTCTGTAGGACAAGTGCATAGCTGTTGTCTTATGCAGACCTTGCTACCCAAAAGAAAGGGAGCCAAGACAGCCTATCATTTCTTAAATCTGGTGAGTAGGCAATGGTTTTCATCTGTTGCTGGAGGAAATTAAATTCTACATGTGACCAGCAGGCTTGAGACTTCTCAAGAAAATCTGGGGAGATAAGTTTCAAACTACTGGAGTGAAAGCTATCAACTGTCCAGGATTATCCTTCTCAAAGAGAATAGGTACTGATGGAGGTTTTTATATTCTAGAACAATAAATGGAAAAATGTTCAACACTCTCTAGGACTTTGGAATAAATCTTCATGTTAAACATACAATAGTTACTAACCAGCACATTAGCAGAACACATCTTTCGAGGGCAGGCAGTTGGAAGTGCTTGGTTTGTTTCCTTATCATCAAATAATATGTTTGCTTTTGTTTGAATCACAATTGAGACAAGTCAGAACATATGGGAAAACCATCTGGATTATTCAACAAGGACCAAATCATCCAAAGGTTTTAGAGCATGTATAGTAAGAAGTAATGGTGTAGTGATTAGGAAAAAAAAATATGTCTTATAGCCAAAAAGACATGAGCTAAACGTGTGTTGAAACTAGCAACATGTGTGAGCACAAAAAAGTTGATGAAAGTCCATAGATCAAGACTGCTGACGGGTGAGACAGAGATCATTGTGATGGCAGGAATCACACAGGTTATTGCAAGAGGTAAATGAGGTAAAAATAATGTGGTTTCTACCAAATAATTGTTTCATAATGGCTCATTAGCATCCTATGACTAATCTTAAATGTACAAGTAGTTTTCTATAATGAATACTACTTAATTTATAGAAGAATAAAAATCTTGGGATACAACCTCTGTAAACACTAGCTTCACCCTACAGAGCATCACTCTAACTTTCCATGCTCCCAAGCTGCTTGATTAAGTCATTAAAAATACAGTTATCTTGCTATACTTTTTCTCATGCCCTATCGTTCTGACTCCATATTGAAAAGACAAACCCTTTAACAGCACTGAAAGTTAACACAATTACTAGTTTTAACAGTATATTTCTGCACTTCTTAGAAATGATCTTTA